TGGTGAAAAACTGACTTTGAAAAATAAATCTGTTCTTTTTTTTCTTATAAAAGGTTAAATAAAACAAAAATATTGGTGGTAATTTTTGACTGTGTAACTTTAAAATGGCACCCCATTCATTGGGTTTAACATTTTTAATAATTTCATTAGATCAATGAACGACATAAAATCTTATTTCTGATTCTTACAGAGAAAAAAGTATTTATAATCAAAATAAATACATATAAAAGCCTCAGTAAGTAAGAGCAGACAAATACCTTTAAATAAACACAAAATCACTTAATTTACATGTTTGTCTTTCAGTTGCAGCCATCTTGTCTTCATCCTGCCTCGGTTCAAACATTAATTGTTTTTAGGATGCGGCACGTTCATGTAAGGGTTGGAAATAATCTCCAGGCCAGTTTTCAGTGTTGCTCTGCTGGTGAAGCTCTGTGAGCTGGAGCTACCCTCGGTCTGTTTGGACTTTGTTGTGTTGTAGTAATAGATGAAGAGAAAGAAACCTGGCAGGAAGACAAATAATCTTTTATCAGGTAATTAAAGTAAACAGATCTGATCCTGGTATCCTTGAGTCAAAATGCTAGAAATGCTAAAGCTGTAGCATGTTTCAAAATGCATTTATTCTTTATAATTATAAAATATGAATTTAATGACATTTGCCAATTCACACGTTTTTTCAGAAGTTGAACACAAGTCGTAGCTATACACTGTGTTTTCTGCTGACTGGTTGTGTTTCAGCACCTTGAAACGAGTTGAGGATTGTGAAAATGTAGGTGGCGGGAATCCGGAGGCTGCCGTAGGCGAAGAAGGCGAAGCCCCAGGAGACGCCCAGCTGGCAGCACAGCCCCATGACCGTCACTATGCTCCTGCCCGTCCTGCCCTCGCCTCTGTTCCCCTTTCTGGTTCTGCTGAGGCAGAAGATCCAGGACAGGGTGATGATGACCGTGGAGAAGGTGAAGAGGAAGACCAGCACGTAGTATCCGATGTTGACRATGTAGTGGACCTTATTGTCGTTAATCCAACACCTTGAAACGGGGGGAAGAGTCGGCTTTTGAAGAATGTTTAAAAAGTTAAAATGTTCGGTGCATTATTCTCAATCTCACATGTCTACGTTGTCTTTGGGATTATCAGCATAGATGGTCTGTTCTCCGTATTTGCCTAAAATGGCGAGAATGACAACGACTACAGCTGGCAAAACTGGAAAAGAAAAGACAAAAACATCACTAAACCAAGTCTGTGTTGTGGCGGGCTCAGCTAATGTTAGCTTCACTAACTAATCTGTTAAACAAGAATTACAGCTCCAGAAACGATAAACTGCTGAACAGGGAAATTAGTGGGAGCTAACGCTAACTGCTGGTGGGACTGATGCAAACCTGTTAGTTTGATTCTATTGGTTTAATTTGAAGGTGGGTGGGATCATTGGATAATCCAAACCAGACTAACTGATCCAAACTTCCAATTTAACCCTTTCAGAATAAAAGCATCTCTTTGATCAAGTTTATATTTTCATAAATACCATTTGAACCAACTCTCTTGACTAGGTCACCCTGGTAAAAGAGATCCTGATCTCAATGGGTTTTCCACCTGGTTAAATAAAGGTTATTGATTGATTGATTGATTGATTGAAGTTAGTCAAACAACAATAGATATGTCAGTGTTTTACATTTGTTATTTAAATATTGTATTTTTGACACTCTTACTTTCGCACTGCTGAAACGGGATACTTTTTATTTACTTCTGCATAAATGGCATAAATATAGAGTTTTTACGCTTGTGAATATTTTAATGCATTTAAAATTAGCAGAAGCCAATTTGGTGGAAGCTAATCGGTCCGCTAATGGTGCCCAAAGTTAGCAAAACATCAAATGTGCTAAACAAGAAGCTAGCTTTGCTATTAGCATGTTAGCGTAACTGCGTGATAAACTCACTCCAGGCCGTAGCAGAAAGTGCCAGGATGTAACTCTGCATCTGAACTTGTCCGCCCTTGTACAGATTCAGACAGATGTGGAAGGCCTGAGCAGCYAACCAGCTGAAGGTGGCGAGCATGAAGTAGTGCATGAAAACCGCCATGATCTGGCAACCCACAGAGCTTTTCACCTGGGCCACCTGGTTGTTGACCAGGAAGGAGAAGTTGAGCAGGAACAAGGCCAGCACCAGGTGGACGAGGATAACCGTGGTTTGACTCGCTTTGTTCTTCCTGTGAAAGCAGGATATTCAGACTGGTTTCAGAAAATATACAAAACGTCAGAAAATAAAGTCCAGATTTTCAGAGTTGTTTCGTTATGGGGATAAAAATAGTTCAAGGTTCAGTTTTTTAAAACATATCACAAATTAGAAGTTTAATGACTGTTTTACATCTTAAAACTATCAAATACTCAAATGATACAAATATATTCCCACAAACCCACCATTCTGCTGGTTTTACTTTTTAGCTAGTCGTTTGTTATCTTTAGCTTGTAATAAGCCATTAGCTACATCTAGCTTTTAGCCAGACCTTTAGCTTCTACGTATATGACCATTTAGACTAGCTTTTTGCTACTTTTAGCATTCTGCTGCTTTTKACTAGCCTTTAGCTAGATTTAACATTTAGTCATTGTTTTGACAATTTTAATTTTTAACTAGCCTTTAGCTACAATTAGCTTTTAGACATTTTTTTCTACTTTTAGCTTCTAACTTCCTATTTGACCCTTTAAGTTCGGCTTCAGCTACCACTCAGGTACTTTATATCCTTTTGCTACTTTTAGCTTTTAGCTGGTGTTTACATGAAGCTTTTAACTAGCCTTTAGCTACACTGAGCTTTTAGACTGTTTTTGTTCTACTTTTACCTACTACCTGTTTGCTACTTTTAGCCTTTCATCTTTACAATATTTTTCTGCTTTTTTAGCTGTAAAAACACAGTTTCAGCTTTTTCATTAGTTATTCAGTACGCAAGATTTTCACTACATTTCACAGAAAWTTTTTATTAATTTAGGTCTGTCAAATGATTAAAATTTTAATCTATTAATTCCAAGGTAGCTGTGAATTAATCACGATTAATCTTAAACTTAATATAAAACTTTAAATTTTTAATTTCTAAATTATTTATTTAATAAATAAAATAAAATAAAATAAGCCATAAGAAGACAAAAAGAAAAAAAACTGTACATAATGTGTTACACATGGAGTTTTTTTAAATTTATTTTTATTTATTTTTAAATTTATTTTACCTTTATTTATCAGGTAAACAGTTTGAGAACCACTTCTCATTTACAAACATGACCTGACATGATGCTCTGAGTGTGTGTAATATACAAACCTACAGATTCAGACAGAGTAAAGTCATTGTACATTTTAATTGTGATTAAAATGTTTAATCTATGCCCATGCAGCASTAAAATTAATCAGAGTTAACTRGATTAATTTCACAGGCCTAGTTTAATTTAATACTTTTTATATTTTATGCTGAGACAAGAAATGAGTGAAATAACAAAAAGCTCCAGAGAATAATGTGATTATTTTCTGACAGTGACCGATGTAAACTAATAAGCTTGATTAATATAAGCACTATAGTTTTTTATTTCAGAGAAGTGTCTAAACTGCTTGTTCATGGAAGCAGTTTCTTTGGTGACGTTAAAATATTTCTGAAACCCAACGAGCCGATAAAAAGAGGCCAGTTTGCCTGACCCTTCACTCCAGTTTATTGGGGAGTTTTCCACAACAATGAAGCCTTATTCACCATCCTGATTTCCATAATAAAATGTAAAGGAACCTGCTGCCGTCAACGTCCTGGTGGTTTGAAAGCCAACTTATTTCCATAAACTTTTCCAACGTTATCAGAACCGAGTTTTTATTTGCACCTTGTATAGTCTTACATTTATATTTTGAACTTTGTGCACAACTTTGTTCAACAAGGTTTGTAAAAATGTAAGAAGGAAACTTTGAGTGAGATTTTTAAATCCTTTTTAAAAGCTCTACTGTTAAATGAACAAGWAAAAATATTCATGGAGTTTAAATTTTAGATGTATACTAAGAATAAAACTGGCAATCTGTTGCTAAATCCAGCAAAACCTTCTATAAAAAATGTATTTATTGTAATTTTCTTTTTTGCAGGGCAAAGTTTTAGCTTTCAACAAACCAATAGCTCAACCAACATAATATAATAAATCTATTAGTTTTTTTTTTTACCTTATAAGAAAGTGCATGAAGAGTACAACACCGAGGAAGAACATGGACAGTCCACAGCCAGCCTGTGTGATGATGGTCAGATTCTTCAGGTCCGCACTGGAAATGGTTTCATTAATGGGACTCTGAGAAGCAAGGATAAAAAGCAGAAATGAAAAATCTTAGAAATTTGTCKCTTATTGACCTGGAAATATAAATAATTTGTGTTCTTTGTGTCAAAGAATGTGCAAGTAAATACTAATAAATAATAAAAWCTCAAGAATTAAAATTGCTTATTTGTGACAAAACAACAACAGATCAAAACATGGTGGAAGGCAGTAGCTATAATCTGCTAACTAAAAACATTAGCTTCACRAATGCTACACCTCTAAACGTAGAAAAATTAGCACAAGCTAGACCAAACAGCTAAACAAGTAAAATTAGCAGAGGCTAATTGCTAACCGCTAAACTGACTGTCACTGAGTCTGCGTCTCGTCTTCATCTTCTTCCAGCTGAAGACTGCTGGTTGAGGTTAGCTTGTTAGTTAGCTGTTAACGACTTAAAGTTAGCAAAACCTGATTCAACAGAAGCTTATTGGTTCTCTAACAGTTTTGGAAAAAGTGAAAAATTTGTGGCACAGAAAAGTCTAAAGATTGAAACTTAGCACACAGAAGACGATATTTAATGCTCTGGAAATATTATGAGAAAAAAAAGAAAAATCTCACCAGTAAGATGGCAAAGAAGGTCAGATGTGAACACTGGCAGGTGATGCCTGCGTCACTTTCGTAGGTTTCACATCCTTCAGTGGTCCAGTTTGGTTTCACACCTGCAGGACAATAACAGATAAACATCACAGGTGGTGAAGAAAACCAGGAAACACACCCAGTTACACCTGTTCCCTGTTCTCATCACAGCTGCAGTGTCTTCTCTCATCAGCCCCAGTCCTTCTCTTACATTCACTCATCAGTGGAGCATTATGGATTTCTACACCATGTCTGGTTCTCTCTGTACCTCCTCCAGACTCCCGCTTTCATTTTTGGAAGGTCTTGCTGCCTTGATTGCTTTTTTGTTGAAGTTTTGTTCATTTTAATTTGCTTGCGTCAGTCTGCACTTTCTGACACTATTTAAACCACCTTGGTAGTGTTGGCTGCACCAAATAATAATATAAACAGAACTTTAAAGCTATGAAATTACACTCGTATTACAAATTAAAACTAAATACCTTTACCATCCCATGAGGAACAGTTTGGAGTGTTCCCTTTCTGTGAACAAAGACAAAGTTACACTAAACAAAAGCTCTTTAACAGTGAAAAACTCATTTAATAAAAGAATATTGTGGGTTTTTACTCACATAGCTTATTGTTTTGAAAGTGATGTTTATTTTGTCAGTCAGATTCTTGATGTGAGTTCCCATCTCAACCCCTAAAACCTCATTGCCTAAAACAGTGCTGTTCTTCTCATCCTGGGATAAATCATTTACAGGTTATTCATTAAATAAGAATTTAAATTAGTGGGTTTTTTTCAGCCGTACCTGAGACATATTCAAAAAGCGGAAGACGGCTGCAAACGGTGTTGAGATGTTTAAACTGAGCGCCATCTCAAAAGCTTGTTTTGACACAGAGACAGATCTTGAAAACTGATTAAGAGTGTTTGCATCATCTACAATCTGCAAAACAAATACAGTACAATGCCACTGATGAAGTCATTGAAGTCAATTATCTTTGAAGAAATGCACTGAAATAGCCTGGTGAAAGGTAAAACCTTAGATAAAATAATGCACCTACGTTTAACTTGTCGTTTGGAGACATGTAAGCAAATGACACCTGGTCCAAGTTTGTAGGGTTGGTTTGTCTCACTAAGAGACCCTCCACTGCTTTTCCCAAAGACAAAGAGGCTGACGTTCCATTCATGCTCGCCACCAAGTTTCCCATATTACCCATAAAATTTCTGTGAAATAATAAACACACATATATACACAGATTATCAAAACAAACTTAGATTAATATTATACAAACTAACATTCATCTTGAATTTATTAGTAAAAATTATTCTTTTAGCTGTTTAGAATTGGCTACTTTTAGGTTTAAGATAAGCCTTTCTTATATTTAGCTTTCAACATCAATCTTGCTACTTTTAGCAACATTTTGCTATTTTTGCTTTTAGTTGGTGTTCTGCTTCTTATAGTGTTCAGCTGGTGTTCTGCTTCTTACAGTGTTCAGCTGGTGTTCTGCTTCTTACAGTGTTCAGCT